ACTTGCGGGGGCCAGCCGATGTACAAGTCAGTGTTTTTATCCTCCCAGACAAGTCTGGTACCAATTAACCGACCCCGGAGGGATGGAAGGCTTGGTTGGCCCGGGCGACTCACGACCCAGGATTTGATCCCCGGACCGCTCGCGTGGTAAGCGCGCCACTTGTCACTACACCACTTCCGCCCTATGCCACATTGACATACATAAATTATTAGCTCAAACAGGGGGAATTTCAACGAATGGATAAAATCTTGTGGATTGATAAAAGCTACCTCATTAAGGGGTTCTTCGGACGGTAGTCTGCACGATTACCGCTGTTGCGGCAGCAGCGGTCACTAACAGTCTAAGGAAGGAAGGAAAAGAATATTCCTGGCGCTACCCACAATTAGGGTGACCAATGGCTGAGGAACTCCTCGATCATGGCTCTGTACTATGCGAGAGTAGTGCCGAGAGTGAACGTACGCGCGGAGAGCACAGACGGCTCGCGCATGGCGAGTGTGAATGTCCGCGCGGGAGAACGTAACTGATCAGGCGAAAATCCTCGACGTGCCGTTGAGGAATCCTCGACCGATATTCACCCTGTCCACAGCTGGTATTTACCATCTCTGTGGGACAATTCTACCAGCATCAGAACAAAAAAAAAACGCAATTGAATATAATAGATTTATGAATTGCATACATAGATAATTAAAGTACATAGGCAGGAATCCAAGCGCAACCTATGTGAGATCGCTGTCAAACATTAAATTACTGTTGTACAAAGAGTTATACATGACACAAAGAAATAATTTCCAAGAAAAACGACACACACCTTCTTTGAAGGAGTTACGCTCTCGATGTAAGAGCAAAAACTGAACCATTCTCAGGTCCACACTACTCTTTACATTGAAAAAAAAATGGCAGCGAACGGTTATTACGCGTCGAGAAAACACTAAGCGGCAGACTGACTGAGGATCAAAAACGATGATTATGATAAGAAAGTCCATTACAGAGGAAGGCGGATCGAGGTAGACTCAATCAATGGGACCCTATGAAAGCTATAAAAATACACCTAAAACCCCAATGTGATGCATGAATCAATGCTTATTCCTAGAAATGAACAAATCAACAAATCAAAACCACAATGCATGCGGAACCCTAGACATATGGCTCAACTTAACTTACTACACAACAACATTTGAAGGAGACAACTCCACAGCTATTTGTCGGGTTCGTTTCAACCCTGAAAAAAAATCGAAAATTAAACCAAAGAAAAAGTTACGAAATGAAATATTAAGAAGCCCCTGAATTTCTGTTTTTTTTTCGGATACGTTTTCTTTCCTCAACACAATCATTACTTGCTTCAGATTGTGACAAGCTTTCGTAATGGAAGTGGTTGCCCAGGGCACCTAGGATATTGCTTCTGGTAGGGAAACATATCTCCTAAGACGTCAGGCTATTAGTACATTTATTTTTGGGGACGCCCCACTCACTGTGACTGGACGACCCCAGGGTCAATCGTAAAGCTGATTCCAAGATAAAGCGAAGATGTTCAAAACATACTACTACGCGTGAAGGGAGCATCCGCAAATGCGACTTTCTTTCCGCCTAAGCACCCCGACCCCTCAACAGTCGCCAACCTTAAACCTGTGGAAATCTCAAAATTCAGCACTTTCGGAATGTCTTCGAATGGAAACCACACTTTTTCCCCTTACCTTTCTTGGCAAAAATGAATGGAGTAGAATTTAAGGATTCTAGCCAAGAATACTATTCCATTGGCTTGCGTTGGCAAAGAGTTGTAGATATTGATGGTGTGTATAAACTGGATGAATGAACAAAAAGATAATAAAAATGTCAAAATCAAAATTTAGTCAGATTGTTGCATAGCTCATGGAGCAACCTAATATTGAAGACTCACTCGAGAAAGTGCAGCAGCACACTTGGGTAGCAGCAGGTTTGTGAAAGTGAAAAATCACATAATTATGTGCAGGGTGGGGGGGGGGGGTACTTCGCCCATGGTACACATACACTTATCGTCGCTCGGGTGCCACTAATGGTTAAGCCCTCCTTCACTGATGTCACAGTCCTCAGGATATGATATTTATATGCCATCACTGTCGAGCTCAACGAGGCCTACCGTAATCACAACTGCCTGAAGCTGCTACTACGATTATTGTTGAACTTAATAGAGGCAGTAGATTTGACTGTGCAGGACCCCTTCGAACCAGCGTGTCAGGTAACGTCTTCATGGCCCACAGTCTCGAGGACCTCGTTGAGTTCGAAGGGTGGACCATATTCCTGTGGAGAGATCTTCTGATGCCGTTGGTGTAAGTCTATTATAATATTGTTTGACAGATTCGAATGTGCTCTTCAGTAATCAGTGAATTCATTCGGTTCGAATTTAGCAAAGAGCAATCGCTCCGTTTGAAATATAGAGGGAAAGTGCCCCCCATAGACCCTCGCGGGTTGTTCGCTGAGAGTTAAAAATTGTTTGAGCGTAAAAATATAGAAGTTCATACGACACCCTAATACTAGTATAGAAAACTGCAATTCCTCTCGCATACCTTCAATCACCTCATTGCTTCTCTGTGGTGATGCACTGGAACTAGAACGTGTTTCTAACGCCTGAAACTCACCAGTTCTAGGCGTCGGGTACAGCGATCAAACAAAAATACTCACCTCGCCTTTTAAGAGCGCTCTCGTGAGTAAACTGTCGTTGCCTACGTTTTCAGATGTATGCTCTAAAAATAAACAAACATTCAACAACGACTTATAGCTGCATTACATTTATGGCAAACAAGAGTTTGGACCTTTAAAACACTACGGGTACGAATGGACATTTATGCAACATTTGCATTTCTGGAAATTCTGATGAAAAACAAGAATGTGGCATGTGTCTGTAGATTGCGCCAGAACAAAAGTCAAACAGTGAGCTCAGAACATAATGTAGCGGAAACTGGAGCCCACCTTTCAGCCCATTCAACGTTTTCGGCCTTCGATTTCTAGACCTTCGCACTGGTTTCGGCGATTCCCCTTCATTTCTCTACAATAAATTGCTTTCAACCGTTCAGCAACCTTGGCAAACAGATATAGAAGACAAATACATACTTCAGATCTCGAAGAAGACGATGCCTTACGGAATGTCACAGTTGGTCGACTGATCTGCCCGTTATGCGTAACGTTTTGATCCTTTCTGGGACTTCCCGTAGAAGATCGAGGATGACCGACAGGACTTGAAACTTTTCTACGAGACCATGACTTCGTTTTCTTCTCAGGTGGTTCCTGTGGGAGAGCCGCTTTAACCGCCCGCTTTTTTCTCTTCTTAGTGGCAGTTTCACTTGAATTAGATTCTACTTCGGTTCTTTCCTGTGCTGAAGAGAAACAAAAATAAAGCAGGAAAATAAAACTAGAATAACAACTATTTTGAAAGATCACAATTGTCGAGTGCACAAACCTGCCGCTGCAGTTGTTGCACCTAGAGTTCCTGTACAATTCGGCGCGCCACATTTGCAATCTGGTAGAGGGCACCCAAGGTTATATTGGATCATCTGGTAGTTGAAACATAATTCAGTACCTGTAAAACGTGTCCTATCCTGCGAAAAAAGAACGCGTATCAGAAACCTCATTTGAACGGACAAGATATTCCAAAATAAGCATTAACAGATTATAAGTGTAGTAATGATGTTATAAGTTAAATGACTCACCGGCGGGAACATCTTCGGTGGTATAAATCATTATGCGTTTGTCATACTAAAAGTGAAATTTTACGACGTCTTGATGAACTGTAACAAAACAGGGATCGAAATTTTCTCAAGTCGTACCTTAACAACGAAACCATTGGGCCGCTTCAGCCGACTGACTACCACATACACCGTCTCAACCTTGCAGTTTGGACTACACGAGTGGTTCAGAAATCCAAAAAACGAGCATTTTAGGAAGAAAAGAATGAACCAGAAATCAACAATAGAGGCAAGAGTAGGGAATTGACAGTGCATACCTTGCATCATTGCCTTTCTCCTTGCAATCAATGATGCGCTGTGAATCTAATGCCATCATGTAGTGTTTCTCTTCTGCATTTCGATGAGCCGTAATTTCCGCGATTCGCCTATTCTTTTCCTTGTGGCTTATCAGCTCTCCAGCGTACTCGGCTATGAATGCACCCTGAAAATGATCATTGGGAAACTTTTTAAAAATGGTTCGGCACACATTTGTCGTTATGAATCAACAATTAGGGTCGAGATAAGTAAACTTGAAAACCTCACCTTAGGGATGTCTCGAGCCGCGAATGCACCCATTCCCTTTCCTGGCGCTTCGCGTATCTCTACTGCTGGATTGACTTCCTTTCGTGACACTCCTCTGTTATTGCAACCACCCTTCACTGCTTCGCAAGCCTGAAATCATCGCAATTTTACAACTTTCCCAAATTCAAGAAAAAAGTCATACACGAATTGACGTTCAAAACAGAGAAAAACAATCTAAACAGCGTCAACAGGCGAAGATTGATTGCAAGCTCATCCGATCGAATTCAGGCGAAAATCTCCCAAAACGTACGCCGTGACTGTTGAAACTCGAGCAACTCGGCTTGAGCCATACGAAATGAAATCATCCAGGCATGTGCTCTTATGCGGTACCAGCGTCTCAGTCCTCCGCTCTGTCGTCGCCGAGTTTCTGCTCCCGCCTCAACACCCAGAATGCCCGTCTTGCTGGCAACCTTCTCTATTGTTAGACGAACAGGTGTTTCTTATTCCTCTTTCAAGTAAGACTGATCAGCTGATTTACTTAATTCTATTAACCATTGCCTCTTTACGACATGGATCAATGAAACTTAATGAAAAATAAGGCCAAATTTTGCGCTCAACAAGAATTTTAAACTGTCCAACATTGGCTCTAAATGAATACAAGGAGCATGCAAGCAGTCATAAGCTTAGCTAGGACTTTTGATGGGTAAAAAAAATATTGATTGAGATGGAAGATTAGCTCAAACTCTTTTTAGAGAAATTTAGCCTGTGAGAATCACTGGAAGGTCCAATGTTTCACTTCCAGGTCATAGCGTCTCAAAGCAATTCACCTCCCTCCTTTTGCGAAAAAAACATGCGAGACACCACTTCTGTATGATCACTTAAAACAAAAGTGAAATTCACAAAGACAGATCACGATTTCGTAGACATTCAGCACCTTTTAAGATGGTTGCCGAAATTTGGACCGCCAAAGGGAACGGAAGGTAAAGGTAGTGAGCGATGCAATGGTGAAGGAAAAATTGGGGTGGAGGGAGCGGGGAGGAATTGACCTAATACCTGCAAGAGAAGCCTTAGTTTGTCTCCCGTTAAATTTCCTGCTTTAGTATCAGCAAATCGGGCTGGAATCCTATCTCTGACCATTGCTTAAAATATGGCGAGACAACAGCTGAGCAGTCAACCGTTGGCGGGTCGATGATAATGTCCGGAAAAAAGACGGAGCTTTATAACGCCATTTCATTTTTCCAAACACAAATTTATAACGCACTGCCCTTCGACTGTTATTGAATGTTGATAACAGACACAATTAGGACAAATCCCACACACATTTCATGTACAAAATTGTATCACGAATATTGTACTGCGAGTAATGCGAATTGTCAAATAGATGCGAATTTTAATGAGGTTTTACCTACAATGAATGAAGAAAACAATAGAACAAAAGAGCGCGAACAAAAGCATTAAAAAATATGAGATAAATAGCACTGGTACTACGATGAGCCGCAAATATTGACTCTGTTCTTTTGTACCTTGCATTTGCAATATTGCACGATTTGTACATTTAGAGTTCGGGCCACATCGGTCATTTTCTGAAGGAGGACAGTCGCACATACTGTCAGTTTCCTCGCAGCCATCAAGACGGGGCTTTGGGCAACTCGGATGGTACACAGACGTCTGCAACAGCAATTCGTTAATTTTAACCCGATCATTGCTAATCTATGAGAGCTCAGCGTTTATTCATGAGAGACAATGCAATTCACCTTTATCTTGGTGTACTTCTCAGGAACGTAATCAAATGTAGGCCGAGGGACGGCTAGATCATTTTCCATCTCTTGCCAAGCTACAAATACACGGCATTATGAATGTTTGACAAATAGCAGCCGAAAACAGGCACGCATAAAAGAATTAGACGAATCGCACGAACCATGACGGTAAGGTTTTCTCTACACAGTTTGGCGATTAATCTAGGATTCAGCAAAACATGGCTTACAACATTCCTAGCAGGAATAAAGCTACAATGTTGGCGCCGCCCCTTTACCGAAAGAAAACCGGTTCGATTATAGTGTGTCCATACTTGTCTCTTATATGGTAAAAATATATATACAAATGAGTATCATAAATCCACCAGAGTATGTCAAAGAAAACCGCTTCAAATGCTGCAATTAAAAACGATAGTTCGAACAGAAGAGAAGAAAAAAGGAGCTACTGCAAGAGGTGAGCGGGGGATAATTTGCCGTGAACAAGAAATCTCGTTAATGTCTATAACATCAGCTTATCACAAAATAGCTGTGACAAGAGGACAATTGAACCAGATCTTCTTTGTATCGATCCCAGCAGACCTTCTCTTAGACTTTCAGATTTTTCATTCACATGAATGCTGGATTTCCGCTTCACAGCGTTTACTTCAAACTTCCTGCTATGATTAACCCTTTCCGGACCGCCTGACACACATGGTGTGTCAGGAACTTCAAGAGCTGATTTTTCCAAGAGTTTGGTTTTTCGATAAAATATTTTATGTTGTTACATACCTATGTAACAGACTCATGCCATATGTATGAAAAAACCTAGACTTTAGGTTTAATCTAGGTTCTAAAATAACCAAAGAGTAAATGGACTTCCACTTTGGGCTCAAAGAAAACAGTTGTAGTTCGCTTGAAAACACTTAAAAACGAAGAATTTGTGAAATATCCTGCTCGTCGTATCTGATTCTTATGGATCCAATCGTTTTGGGCACGTTCTACTCCCTTTTTCTCCATACCAACTTATTTTGAACAATTTTCGTCCCTTCCTCCCTTTTTATGGCCCTTTCCCTTTTTTTGCAAAACAGTTTTCTGTCAAATTAATCTTATATATTCTTCGAGACATGACAAAGACATAAACGAGACAAAATAATGGCTTTAGTGGGAATACAGATTAAATAATATATTTGCTTGCCGCGCAGCATGCGGCCGTGAGCGCAAAAAGTGCGCGTCCTAAGAGGTAAGGTTTATATATAGCTTACTATTGAAAGTAGCACGAATGGAGCAAGTCTTCTTTGCGAGTACAGATCAAAACGTGTACAAAAAATCAAAACAACTGTGGAGAATTTTGCTGCTCGGAATTTTGAAGGATTTTTGAGCAAAACTCTCCCGCTCAAGAACTCCGCACTAGGAGGCTCGACGCCCGTCTCGAGATAGCATCGAAAGAAGTACACAATTTCATCTGGAGTCAAGTAAAAGCTTACGCTTTGATGCAATGTTTCGGATACTCCTCCAACTTTGTTATCGTTGCAGCATAGAACCTGAATGACAAATACGAAGTCAACTTGATGGCTTAAATTTGAGAAAAAAATGGACGAAAATTATTTTTGCAAAAACAAATAAATCAAAAAAAAGTTCAAGAAAAACAAAAACTACAAAGCAGTAAATAGTAAGAGAAAGTAAGGCAGTCGTCGTATAACAGCGATTATTTCTTTAAGTGCAACTACTGGTGAATTTTAAAAAATTCGCTATAAACTGACACATCGCTTTTAAAAAAGGAGGTATGCAAAGTTATAAATCACCTTGAAGAGTGATTTCTACCAGCAACTTCCTTGAATGCCATTATAAGTAAAAAAATCAAAACAAAATCTGGAGTACCAAACTCATAACAACAACTACAATAGGCAGTGGATACGATAATTCACTGTCTGCGAGGGTAAACATGCCCCAGCCGTCCAAACAGCTTTCCATGGCGAGAGGCACTTAACAAGGCAGTATGCATACTGCCCTTATTCATGTTTCCATTGACATCCGCTTTTCATCCCACGAACATGACTACGAACTCACGATATCCTAAACTTGGCGATCACTGGCTGTCCAATCCGTAACGTTTCGCCCAATATACACGATTCACACAACGGTTTGGGGTTGGTGTTGTGCAGATCTCGACAATTCAGCGTAAGGCAACATTCGTGAAATGACCTCACGCATTGGGAACATCTCAGCAGAGGCTCCTCGCCTAAAATAAATAAAAAAACTCACTTCTTATAAACATTTGCTCTATTGCATTTGTCCATGAAAGCATACGAATATAGGAAGAGGTGGCGCAAATTCTGGTGTGATGGTAGAGTAAACTATAGGAAACACACACGGGTTCAAAAACAGATAGTGAGTCAAATGACGCAGTATTCTAGCGCGACAGTCGTTCATGAGATTAATTTCAAGCTAAGATGACTCAAAAATTTGAAATCTCCAAGTGATCACATTCCCAGGAAAATTCTAGCAAAAATGCAGCATCGTCGAAAGGAAGTCATGTTGAATGAGCAATGAATAGCGCGCAATTTTTTGCGAAAAACGAATAGCGAACACAGTTATCTTACCTGCGTTTTCACATTCACAGCAAAACGGTAGGTGCGAGCGTTTGTTTTCCACCAACGGAATAGATTCGAAGTCACAGTGCGAATGGCAACGAGTAAATGTCTGTTTAACCTGCAAAAAATGATATTTTCAAGAACCAGTTCAATAGGAAGGGAAGTGATTTGTTGCTTAATTAAGACAGTGAATGCGACACCGAGGGCTACTATCCAGACCCCATTCCACCTGTTTTTGTTTTAATAATCATGGCTATCATAGCTGTGTCTGGCTCTACTCATGTGCCACAAATGGGTACCTTTAAAAGGAATGAGAAAAAATAAACAGGCTCTGAAAGTAGTGAAGCAGTAATGAAATATAATAACGGCCATCTAATTAATCAAATCATTCATCACAATCAAAATGTAGAACAAGCATACATTGAATCGTTATTGAGGGAATTAGCTTCAATTTATTTAACAAACTATTCACAACATATTCAACAAACTCTTTTCAAGGATATCAAGGAATGATAATAGATAATATTGATGATTCAAATTTTTTAAAAATATAACCCATTTAAATTGTTTAGCAGCAATGAACCTTAAATGCATCAGTGTTATCATTAATCTACATACCTCTACTATGGATCCCTCCTTCGTCCTAGCCGGTACAACGTCATCATAAAATTCAAATCCAGCAGGGGAGCACTGCTCATGAAAACCACGAAAACAGGAGTCGCATTCTACGAGCTTTCCTGAAATTGCAATATATGCCGCAACCAGGGTGAATATCGCTTGAGGATTCCTCAACGGCACGTCGAGGATTCTCTGCCCGATCAGACACGATCTCTCGCGCGGACATTCACACTCGCCATGCGCGTGCCGTCTGTGCTCTCCGCGCGGATGTTCACTCTCGGCACTACTCTCGCATGGTAGAGAGCTATGGTCGAGGATTTCCTCGACCGTTATTTACCCTGGCCGCAGCCATGAGGACGATGTGGATTACTCAAGCCTTGTACGAAGATATATTTCGGAAAAGTAGATAGTTCTAACGTTTGAGCCGCCGTAGGAGCCATTTGGACTACCACACAGGCGCAACCGTCAGCTATGTGAAGGGAAGAAAACCTGATATGCACAAATGTAGGGAAGTTCTAGAATATCACAAGGAGCGAGGCGATTCAGTGAGCTGGTCTGAGTTCCTTCCAACACAAGGTCGTATTTGGGATTTGTAGATAGGGGTCGCGCTTAAGATTTTCAGACGGTGGGTCCTATTTCAGTCTTTTTCTTGTGCTAGGTTTGGGGAGGTGATTATAATTTGGATTCCAGAGGGCCGTAGCGATGGAAGCTGTTATGCTGTAGAGGAGGGAAAATAGGGGTCATTTAAACGCGTTTTTTTTTGCAAATTTTCAAATAATATGTTGAATGGCCGAAATGATAGCATTTGCAGCTTGGAGGGCACATTTGGAGGAGCGGACTGGTCTCGAAATCAATCTAAAAAGAACCACGGTGGAATAGGACGGTTGGAGAGGGAAAGGGGGGGGGGGCGAATGAGAGTCTTTCAGATAACCTCTTTAAGGCTGGTGTCAGAGTCCGCGATCCGCTCTTCGCGATTTTCGCGATTTGCGCGATTTTCGCGATTTTCGCGATTTCGCGATTTTCGCGATTTTCGCGATTTTCGCGATTTTCGCGATTTTCGCGAAACCTGCGATGGATCACAGGAGTTGGAAGTGCCCGATGAATACTGCGAGGTGTTGTTTAATCCTGCTGCGAATTCTGCTTGGCAGTAAAGATTGGAAGACGAATGTTTGTGGTTCTACTTGTTTCATGTTCAATGTCTATTAGTTCATTGAAATGCTCTTGAATCGTTCCTATTTTTTTCAGGAATCAAACCAAACCAATCACAAAAATTGCAAGTGCCCCATTTGAACAATTGAAACACTGGATATGAAACAAGTGGAATCATGAGCAGTCTCCATTAAACCATAACCATCAAGCAGAAGTGACGGCGGGATTGGAGAACACCTTGCAGTATTGATGGGGCACTTGTGATTTCCGTGACCCGTCGCGCAAATCGCGCAAATCGCGAAAATCGCGCAAATCGCGAAAATCGCACAAATCGCGAAATCGCGCAAAGGATCGCGGACTCTGACACCAGCCTAAGGTTGCTACTTCATGACCTCTTTGGTAAAGAGTGTCTTCACAACGGACGGCCGACCATGCTACCAACACTGAAATTTACAGGAGCAACTTGTACAAAAACTGACCAAATATCAAGTCAGATTGTGGTACAATCCATTGCTAACAAACCAAAAACAACAAAATCGAAAAAAAGCATACCTCGAACTGCCGTAGTTTTCCAACGCTCCAAGTAGCAAGTGGAGCAAAAATGCAGGGGACATATAGTTTCATCAACGATTTTTCGAAGACAATCCACACTGTACTCAGCAGCATTATAGGCCTTGAAAACACTACTGATCCTTAGAACAAAAGACTACGAAAAAAAAAACAGTACAATAAACCATCTAAAAAGCCTCAAGCAGGCGCAAGAGTGGATCATCGATACATTACTCATGGGTGGAGAGGGTTGCACCGAGAACTCTGGGAGAAGAGAGTCGTATTGCCGCGGCCATTCGACGCGATATTCACGTTTTTGGAGACAAGGCAAGGCTGATTTTGGACTTTGCGGATCCGTGGGTTGGCCAGCGTTTGGACGCACTCATTAAACATAACCACGACTGCTGGCTTAAATTGCACGCATACGTCACCTAATTTCGTGAAAAAAAAACCAAATATTGCAATGGAAGTTGCCAGGTTCCTAGATGATAGTGTTATGCTGCAATTGGATGATAAACCTGCTACATATAATACAACAACTTACCTCAATGCATTTCTCATGAAACTTCGTGGTACAGAAACTACTCGCAGAATATTTTTTGCCACAGCTAACAAGATCTCCACCTTTACCACAGACGAAACATTCACCTTAAATGAGAATCAGATTCTCCACAGCACAACTTCTATAATTTAAAACAAGGAACCCTTCAAAATGGTACCTGAGACGGAGTAAGTCCCCACTCTACCGACTTTTCTGCTTCTTATGGCATAGATATCTGCAACTACACCATAAGTTCGAGAGAAATTTTCTAGAAAAGTGACTATGTCTACCTCGCTTAGGTTTCGAACATGAAGGTGACCTCAGCACAGAACTGTCACCATGAGGTTTATTCGTAGATGGTGAACTAAAAAATACGACACTAGCAGACTCCATGTTGGCACATTGAACAGAGATATTTCTAAAAGTAAAAATGGTGACAGTAGGGTTCCCGTCGCAATAAAACCAATTTAATGATGCTAACTGTACACAGAAGGAAATCAAAAATGAACAATTGCACTTCAAATTTACCATGAGCAGTGGAATTAAATGAAATATTACGAATTATACTCTTCACAAGTTACCTGACTACTCCATTACATACACTGGAAACCGATGGCCCTTCACCATGAGCGACAACTGCCCGCTCAGCTCCGCCACTGTCTCCTGGCGCTCTTCCTCTAGGGATTTCGACATTGCAGGTGACACCATCTAATCCATTAGACTGATTGGACAACGTTGCTTCGCCATTTCGTACAGCTTCAGGTGACTCCAAGCGTTCTGCAATTCTCATCACTCATTTAGGCCGATGCCATAGTGGGCGAATCGAGCGACTTGCTAGCGAATCGATCACCAGCGAATCGAACTTTGTGCCATCGAATTGACAGGGAGCCGAACGATGTGCCAGCAAGTTGAAGTATGTACCAGCGACTCAATTGTGCCATCGAATTGACAGGGAGCCGAACGATGTGCCAGCAAGTTGAAGTATGTACCAGCGACTCAACACTGTTTGAAAGTGGCGGGACGGAAGTCCACTCAAAGGGACTACATTGTTTGAACGTGGCGACTTCCTTTAAACGTTGGGTCCCGCCACTTTCAAACAGTGTTGAGTCGCTGGTACATAGTTCGACTCGCTGGTGCATCGTTCGATTCGCTGGCGCAAAGTTCGATTCGCTGGTGCAACGTTCGATTCGCTGGCGCAACGCTCGGATCCAGCGATTCGCTAGCGAATCGCTCGATTCGCAAACTATGACATCGGCCTAACGCCGCTGTATCACACGGTAGGATAGAAGGATATGTGGAGCATTGAGCACTTATCACTTTTTTGTTCATATTTTTGGCGGAAGTGGTGTAGTGGCAAGTGGCACGCTTACCACGCGAGCGGTCCGGGGATCAAATCCTGGGTCGTGAGTCGCCCGGGCCAACCAAGCCTTCCATCCCTCCGGGGTCGGTTAATTGGTACCAGACTTGTCTGGGAGGATAAAAACACTGACTTGTACATCGGCTGGCCCCCGCAAGTCATTGTATAGGCCACATCGCATTCAAACGCCACTACGAATGTACAAATGGAAGTAGAATGCGTGCCGCATCCCAAAAAGGGATTGATCAACGGCAAATGCTTTATCCTTTATTTTATATTCAGAGCTGTAATAACTTTTTGAATACGATTTGCCTATACATGACTAACGCGGAAAAGCCGATGTACAAGTAACCGTTTTCATCCTCCCAGACAAGCCTGGTACCCATTAAGGAAACCCCTTGTAGGAATGGTGTGGAGCATACCCCCGGGCCTTTAGTTGGCCAGGACGACGGATGACCCAGGATTTGATCCGCGAATCATGCAATGGTAAGCAGTACCACTTGCCGTTACAATATTTCCCATCACACCAGCAGCAAAAAGGAAAAATAAAAAAGAAGAGTATCATAAGCTTTCATCAGAAAAATCAACAGCGTTGAATAGCAGGGAAGTCATTAACATGTGCACCATGCTATTTTCTTGATAAGAGGAAGTTTTAATCCACTTCTACATCTGACCTCAATGAGGTACTGTTCACAGAGTGCGACCTCGGCGAAAAGATCATAAGCCAAAAAGAATTACATACGTAATGACTGGTCATTAGACAAGTAAGAAATTCCTACAATGGGAGGCCCGGCGAGGAGTTCCATACAAATAGATCGTTTCATTCCAACCCTCTGAGCGTTCTAACGCTCGCCAGTCCGCGTCAACGGTCCGTTCGGACAACATGAGTTGGTATAGGTCTCATTTGCGGTTTTTGGTAGGGAGGGGGCACAAGTGGTGCTGAGGTAGACAACTTTGAAAATTGCGAATGAGTTCGCGCTTACGAGACGAAAAGATTGTGGTTGTGTGAAAACACAGGTTCTTGACGTCTTTTGCTAGCAATTTTAATGGAAGCTTCACAGAAAATAGATGCAATGGACAATCTGTTGTTTGATTATCACGTTATCTACCGTATGACAAGCTGTCGTGACAAATCCATGCGGGCAAAAAAAAAGCGGTCTCACACGCCAGATAGTTGAAATGAGCGAGGCCGTAGACATATTTGATTTTACTTATTCATTAGCTATTATATGAACCATTTTGGAGTGAGTATTCATCGCTCCAGCGCAAACTGCCTCCAGTCTCTGCAGTATTACCTAAAATTACTTATTAGATGATACTCCATTCCTTGAACCTAGTCACCCCCTCCCCGCACGTACGATGACCGTTTTAAAGGGAAAAAAAGGAAAACGAAGGCGAAGTTGGGGTGTGTTGACAGGTCCCAGAACTGAATACAGCCGCAGTGGTGAGGTGATGGTGGGGGTAGGTGTGTCCAATGGGTTCTGTCCCTTTACAGACAAGTGATGTAACAAAATGAATGTCGAGTGGAGGGGAATGTGACTACTGCAAGGGATCTAAAGAGAGCAAAACGTAGTTTTTCGCTTCGGAAGGTGTTAGTAGCGGCCTAGCAAGGCTTAACCAGGGTCAAGCGCCCGTTGCCCAAAGAACAACGAGGGTTTGGCCAAGGAAAGGGGAGGGAGAAGTCATAAGCTCAAGTACCAATCGCAAAGTTTTAAGGTGCCAAGGCACGGGTGAAGGAAGACAGACTTTCAACTGCACTGCGACTACGCACCACAGACGATTGAATGGCGCATCCCAGAGCGAGATTTCTTACTAAATACGTCATGTCCCAGTGAGCACAGTTAAAAATCTTTCAGAAAAACTCTATGCTTTTAGGTCAAATAGAATTGGAGGAAAGCGCAGCAAATTCAGCGGATTGACCACAAGAGTCCTAATAGAAACTTCCAGCGTGGCAGTAGAGGCTTTCTTTTCAAGATAAATCATGTTAGCATATGCTTTTTGGAGAGTTGAACATATGCAACAGTTCGAAACTTTTTAGAAAGAAACAACCTGAGGTTTTTAAATTTTTGTACCCCATTTCAAGAGACCGCTTTTGAAGAAAGATATGACCTTTCAAATGAAGAGATTACTATCATGTCTAGGTCTACGCAAGAATTTGCAAATTACTTCTATTTGGTGCGCCGAATTTCATACGCGGACTTAGCACTGTCCACCATTCTCTACGTTGGTGATGGCCCATACATCGATGATGAGCATAAAAATATGAAAAAAAGACACAAGCGTGGCCGTCTTGTCAAAACAGAGCTCAACAAGCTAATAAGAGTCTCATTTCGCGGAATTCCATGCCAATTCCTTTGAACTTTCCCCCATCACACAACATCTATCAAGCCACTACTATCATGTTCAACAGTGAACAAATTTCCGTACCACCCAAATCTAAAAGTTCGGTGAAGGAAAAACAGTTTCAGCCATCGTATTCTATGACAGGACTAATTGAGAAGACCCGACAAAACATGCAACGGGAAGGCATACGCTTGAACATGAAACACTCAAAGTTGAGAAATTATCCAAATCGTTACATGGACCTGAAGCTCACCATGCATATCAGCAAAACAAGTTATTCAAAATTCTCATTAGATAGAAATGGTAACTTACTCGCAGTTGATGCGTTGCGAACATTCATCGCAGGTGGAGCATCGCTTGATAGATTAAAAATGTCCTTAACCAGTTTTACAATGACCTCTGAAGCAGCCTTGTCACGAAATCGAGTTGCCTGAATAAGGTAGTTGCACAATCAGAACATATTCAATTGCCAAATTTTGACCAGACTGCTGACTTTTTTTTCCTGAAAATTAATCTCAGAGCATGCATTCATCGCTCCCGCCCAAACTGCCCTGCGTCTCTGCCGTATCGACATCGAGAAGTGCATGTCGATGCAATGAATAGTCACGCACCTGATGGTGAGGGGCCTGGCTAGCTTTATCAGGAGTCGTACAACGTAGTCGACTAGATAGTGAATAAGGGAAAAGTGAACATATGTTCAGAGATTTCGACACTAATACAGATGTTGATTGACCGATGCTGTGGTTACAAGGAGTGCAAAACCTTGGGAAACACGATGGGACAGTCGCTCAAGCAGAGGCAACGTCCATATTATTCCTTGTGAAGATGGTCTTGGCTAGTTAACTTTGAAAGTGAACAATGATATGGAACCAACCTCAGTGAAATCTGCTAAAAAGTCGAGGTGAGGGATTTTTCCACGAGTTCCGCCACAAAGCACAGCGATCATCTCGCGGAAGGCGTCAAGCGTAGGCCCTTGAACGAATACAGATGATTGCAAATTACTTAGATGATGATTGGTGGATCGGTACACATTCTTTAGGTGCTGGAGCTTCGAAATTTTCGCGAGACTCAAAGTGTCAGCAGTGGTCCCAGAACAGGCAGCGAAAATGGAAAATTCGCTATACGAAGGTAGGCTTGTTATACAGAATGTATTCTAAGCAATAATTTCCGAACGATTCAAATCAAAGAAAGCAATAAAAGCATAGCTACCTACAGGAGTTGCCCCAAACAAAGTAAAAGACTTAATCCTGACGTTTTGCCCGATTGCCTTCCTCCTCAATAACTCTTACGGAATACTATTTTCAAACCAAATTGCACGCTGATCTATGTAAAGTGGGAACTGCTTGGTTAATCAAATATTGCAACTGCAGATTCTTTCAACATCGCTGAGAATAAAATCGCGCACCTTCACCCCCTCATATGAGAAAAACCTAACGTTTTTTACCCACCTTTCGCTCGTTTTTGTGGAACTCCCATACGAAATAACATATCAAGAGCGGCGTCGAGTTCCATCGATCCATCGCCATTGGTACAACTCGATTCCAGTACGGTTCTACTCTGAATTCGAATGTTATCATTACAGAAACAAACTTGGAAACTACAAGTGAGAAAACTCCACCTCTTCATTAGTAATCGCTAACCAGTTTATCATCAACGTGAAATCATTGCTCAAGTCCGACTTGAAGCCATCAATAAGGATTTCGGGACACTGAAATCAAGACCACTCATATTTAGAAAGATGAAAAAAGCTCCAAGTGCAACAACCTACGCTTTTCTTTGCGATACAGTGAGCCCATATTTTATAGGTTTCCAGCCGAAGTTTGAAGTGTTCATGAATTTCCATATCAGTTAAATCATCTGCCACTTGAATATTCGATATATGACTGAAATTTTCCTTTGAGCTAACAGGAATTTTTCAAACTATGAGAGAAACCGACTTTTTTGTTAGTCCATTCGACGTTTTCTGAAGTTTCTGATGCTTTACCTTGCTTGGCAAGCCGATGGCATCACCTTTCATTACTGAAAAAAGAACTTTCAAGTAATTTTGGAAAGATTGCGTTATTAAGCAGTTACATTTACATTCCCGAGGGATGACAAAAAATCATAGAAGAACGATAAAGAAATGAGGCGCAGCGGCCACAGACAGGGAAACAGGCGAAGATCGATCCACTCGGAGTACCGATGAGCGCGTCGCCATCGCACTCACCACCACTTCGGCAAAAGACGACCTCGTACGGCAGAAAAACTCTCATGTTAAGCGTAGAATGATTTCGAATTGAATACGTTTAATAGTCCATTGGCACTAAACAAGGATTCCAAGGTCTCGCTAAAGCTAAAAGGATGAAACTTACGCATTCGGCAGAGATAGGGTATTTTTGGCCGACTACAATTGCATTTATTCTCGGCTTGCGATAAACTGCGTGGGATTTTCGTCTCTGTAAGTCAAAGCAAAGTTATGGGTTCGCCGGGCACTATCGCGATATACGGGTCATTACGATAGGATGCATTTAAACAGCATAAAACATGTCTTTTCGTGGAAAACGGGACTAAGCTTCAGACAGGGGAGGAAAAACTCAAGATATGTGAGCCATGCTCATTTTCAACGAGCTCTTGCCCCCTCCTAAACTTCTTCCTAGGGGATGCCCTCGTATATTGCGATAGCGCCGTATGCCGCTTCAATACAACGGTACGCGTTATTCTACCTAAGTCAGGATTTGAGAACTATATAATTCACTGATACGCTTTAGCTTTAGCTCACCATAAGCAACATTAGGGCGGCACGGAGAACAGCCGTTATCTCTGATCTTTATAGATATTTTGGATTTGTGGATGAACGTCTTTTTGGTCCCATTACCACACACTAGAGTAATGCAAACTAAAAAGGGACCCAGGATGTGAATATTGAAAAAAATTTAAAAATATGAAACAAGGAACCGAAAGCTGCTATACCCTATGAGAGAAAACAAAATCAAAAGAAACAATGTTGTTCCGATTTTTCTGTTCAAATTTCTTCCAGCCAAATTGGGTCAAACCTGCATCCTTACTAGCCATGTCCTTCCTGGACCGCTTGCCGTTGATTCGGAGAAGCCGAGAGTTCCAAGAAGATCTCACAAAGCTTTCCTTAGGGACGAAAGCTATACATTTATTACCTACACACAACTACAGTGATACCGCTGAACTCCTTCGTATAATTATTGATGGAAATGACTTGTTTACGATCATTACATCGCATTCATCCACATTCCATAGGTCATGGAATACAAG